TAAAACAAGTTAGTTTTGAGAAGTATAAAATGTTACTGATGGATACAAATAGATGGAAGTGAGTTGCATGGCTGGGAAAAGGAATTGTTAACAATGATTTATCAGTGTTTTCCCAGAACTCACCCAAAGTGATTCCAGTAGCTGATGCCAGGTTTCTACTCAGAAACATTCCTAGGGTAAAGATGGCTACATTATCATGCTGTAAATGACCTTTTGGAAACATTAAACTCCCTCTTGTTCTAACTCTATCCTTGCCACCTGTATTAGTTAGGATTGTTTTGGCTGCAAGAAATAGAAAAACACAAAAGGGGCTTTTAAAACTTTACACTTGACCAAAATTTATTTCTCTCTCACACTCATGAAGCCTAGAGGTAGTTAGTCCAGGGATGGCACAGCACTCTAGGGTTTCCAGGACCCAGGCTTCTTCTACCTTGTTGCTCTGCAATGAATGGTGGCTTCTGTTCTCAAGGACACTTCTGGCTCAAAATGGCTGCTAGAGCTCCAGACATTATGACTACATTTCAGGCAGCCAGAAGGAGGAAGAAGATGAGAAGGAAATCCCCCTTCCTTTAAGATGACTTTTTAAAAGTTTCACACACCCCTTCTGCTTACATCATATTGGCCATAAACTTAGTCACATGGCCACACTTAGGTGCAGAGAAGCCTGGGAAATGTGATCTTTACTCCAGACAGTTCTGTGCCCAGCCAAAAATCAGGCATTCTGTTAGTATGAAAGAAGGGAGAACAGATATTGAATGACAACAAAAGTCCCTACCATGCCAAGTCACCTCCCAATTTCCATTTTCACTTCCTAAGTGGATCAACTCAACAGAAATAGAGTGATATCCCCCTTACTGACTCTTGCCTCAATTTTAGTTTTAAAAATTAATTTTCAAGTCAATGTAGTGCCACAAACATTTGTTAAAAACCTATTATGATTCATACAATGGAATACTATTCAGCAATAAAAAGGAACAAATTATTAATATATTGAACAACATTAAGGAATCTCAAACTAATTTTGCTGAGTGAAAGCAGCCAGCCCTCCACTCCCCAAGTAGAATACATGTTGTATGATTCCATTTAAATAAAATTCTAGAAAATGCAAACTAATCTGTAGTGACAGAATGTGGAACTATGGTTGTCTGGGAACAGTGGAGTAAGGGGGAAAGGATTGCAAAGGAACACAAGAAAACTTTGGAGATGGTGGATATGTTCATTATCTTGAGTGTAGTGATGGTTTCATGGGTATATACCATATATCAAAACTCATCAAATGGAAAACTTTAAAAATGTGCAGTTGATTCTACATCATTTATACTTCAATTAACTGTAAAATACTTTTTAAAAAAAGAACCTATTACATGCCAGGCACTATGCTTATGTTAGGCACTGAAGATACAAAATAAGCTGTAAATCCCATCCCTAGGGGTCTCACAGTCCAGTAAGTTGTTCTAATGAATAAAATAGGCTTATGAACATAGATAGAGTGAGTGGATCCCCAACACTTAAGCACCTTGAATGCACAGACTAAATCAAAGCATTCAGGCTACACACTGAGGACCAGATCCTGGCCCATGCATCCAACCAGCCCCCAAAGCAGCCTGAAACAGTTCACTAGGCTTAACCATTTTACAGTGAGATGCAATGTACATGTATATACCGCCCTTTAGATCTATTTCTACATATGGCTACAAACACATATGGGGAATAATATTAATATTTTTAAAGTCCCCAAGAAAACTGTATATTTTCCACTTTTAGAAATGAAATCCAATGGCATGCTCTCTTCACTTACCACATCTGTGTTGCAGAGCCAGGAAGGATCATATGACAAAGACAAGTAGTTGGCACAAACAACTCTTCAGAAGGAATAGTCTAGCAAGACAGTTATTTGGAATCAGCTGTTTCTAATGACCAATATCCCTCATGTCTTGACATCTCTTGGTACTGCTCTTGTAGCATGGGCAATGTCACAAGAGCGCAGTGCTAAGTCCTGAAGTCTCAGATATCAGCTCAAGGGCAAATACTACAGATCAAATTCGTTATATTCTCCTCAATTTTGCCCGCTTGGTTCCTAGGGCTTATGAATTTTAACAGGACCTTTCCTTAGTACCGAAGCTACTGCTCCTACCTTTTCCTACACTTCGAGAAAAAAAGAAAAATCATAAAAGTACAGTAGTCACCAGGGGTTGGGAAGGGGAGGGACAGATGCATAGGCAGAACACAGAGATTTTTAGGGGCGTGAAGATACACTTTATGATTCCATAATGGTGGACACATGCCATTATATATTTGTCCAAATATGCAGACTATACAGCACCAAGAGTGAACTGTGATGTAAACTATGGACTTTGGGTGATGATGATGTGACACTATAAGTTCATCCATGGTAACAAATACACCACTCTAGTGGGGGATGTTGATAATGGGGGAGGCTATGCATGTGTTGGGATAGGGTATACGTGAAATCTCTGCACCTTCCCCTCAATTTTGTTGTGAACCTAAAACTGCTCTTAAAAAAAAGTCTTAAAAAAATCAACATGCAAAATGATAGTAATCAACCTCATTAGTCATATAAATTCCAATAAAAATGACAATGAGATATTGTTTCCCAACATATTGACTTTTTAAATCACAATAGTCAAGGTGCTCGTACACAGTAGGCAGGAATGTATATTGGCATATTCCTCTGGACAGTAATTTGGCAAGAGGTATAATGCACCTTTTGAAGAGTTTGTGACAATGTATGCATAAAACATTTCCAAAAGATTGTACAGTAAAGTGTTAACTGCTTTTCTAAAAAAAAAAAAATCAAGATTAGATCCCTTCAAAATCCATGTCAAGAAAGAAAACTTTTTTCCATGGCCCATGAAGTCTTTCCTTGTGGGACTGTGTGGCCTGAATATCACTGAGTAGGAAGTGCTGTGCAGAGTTGTAGCAAATGCCCCCCCATAACTCCAAATGCCTCTCCTCTTATCCTTATCCATGCCTGACACCCTTTATTATTGACCTCTTTAGATTAAGATGTTTGCCCTCTGCAGAAAGCAAGCAAAACTCCAACTGGACCACATTGCCCAAAGAACCCTGAAGGACTGGTGTAAGGTAACCCTGATGCAAAAAAATGGACAGGGACCACGGGGTTGGTCTTCATGATGGCTGTGGACCTGGTGAGGGTGTGACAAAGGACAATATGAGGTGCATGAGGTAATGACAATGAACTTTGGTTATAAAAAATTTCCTCAAGTATCATATAATATATGTATATTATAATAATATACATAAGTATCAAAATAATATAATAATATAATAAGTATCAAAAATTTCCTACTTATTGCAAAAAAACTAATCTGGAGTGAAGTGATGAATTATTCCACACAAAAATCACATCTTAATGCTTTTCAAATGTTGATGTGTTTTTAAAGATCTGTGATTCAAAGCATTCCTTTCACTTTTATGCAATCTCCTAATAAAAGCAGACTTGCTCTCCTCATTACCCAATTGATTGGCATTTGTAGTGTATTGATTGCCCTAATAACACTGGCACTTCCAAAGCCAAGTAGATCTACTGATGCAAATAATCCCTCTCTAATATTTTCTTTCTGATTGGGCACCTCTGTGCATTGAAAACACATTTTCACTACGAACTAGCAAGGGCTTTCTTAGTTCTTATCCCATTAATCTTGTGGTCTTAACTTTTCCATTGGAAAGTCAGTTTCTTCTATAATTCCTTCTCTTAAAGCATTTTGGGAATGACCTGAGATACCTTATCAGTGAAAAGGCCCACAGCAGCTGTAAAAGGAAGGAGAGAGGAACCAATGACAATTGTCAACTCTTGTTCTTCAATGACAAGCAGACTAACCCTCCTGAATAGAATATTTGAATAAACTACTCATTCCTGAAACTGATGGGAAGCATTCTGTCTGAAACAGAAGACCCTCATTATAAAGTGATTTTCATGAGCAGATATTTCCGGGGTGGGGAGGGAGTGGGTAGAAGTTAGGGACAAGAAGATGTCAAAATATGGCCATCAAACCTGGTATTGTAAAGCCTGCAAAAGTCTTATAGCTTCAAGGTGGAATCAGCCCCAACTCCCAGTACATAATGCATTTCACAACATGTATTGCATCACCTCTGTGATGCTCCCAAGCATGTTACAGCTTGCTCTGTGCCCTTGGACAAGTCACTTCTTGCCTCTGAGTCTCATTTCTCTGCCATACAAAGAAAAGACTGGACTAGAGACCTCTACAGTCCATCATGAGCTTTCCTGTTCTTTATTTCAGTCTCATAGAATTACCTTGATTCTCCCCTGGTGGCCATGCTACGTCTTGGTGCCTTAATTCTTTGTGACATCACTCTTCCCAAGTCTCCTCAAGGAAGTGTGTGGTGATGTTTTTTTTAATACTATGTTCAAAATTCCAAAAGACCACCTCTTCAGGTGCCTGTTAAAGTTGGTTCATGGAGAACAATAGGTAAAGGCATACTGCCTACTGAATGGACCCTCTAAACACCATTTATGCAGAAATGGCCCAGACCTGGGGGGTGATTTTGCATCTTAGGGTATATCTGGAAACATCTGGAGATATTTTTGTCACAACTTAGTGGGGGATGGGGATTGGAGTATGCTCTTGTCATCCAGTGGGTAGATGCCAGAGATGCTGTTAAACATCCTACAATGCACAGGTCAGCCACCCACAACAAAGAATTATCCAGCCCAAAGTGTCAATAGTACCAACACTAAGAACCCCTGGCCTAGTCCACAGAATCAGTGTCATGGTACAGCCAGCTGCTACCAGCTCCCTAGTCAATTGTGTACGTCTCTTTCCAGTTCCACATTCCTTGGGTCACTTGGTAGCTTGAAAATGGTCGTTGTGGGAATATTTACACCAGAGACATCAGCACCCTCTACAAATAAAGGCAATTTTATTTCTGAGAGCCAGCTGTTAAGCATTTCCCATCACACCACTACTCAGAACCAATACATGAAAAAACTGATTCAAAACTCAAAGGTGTTTGCAGCAAGAGGCTAGACTGTAGGGAAACTCGAGATGATTTTACCCATGGGCAAAGATACTGACCTCATAGCATCACTGTGACAATGATCACAAAGAGGAAAGGAACAGTACGAGGGACACTGGTGGGCAGGTATTTGAAGACTCTTGTGTCTTATTGTTTTGTTTGCTTACTCATATATACCCTGCCTTCTTCCAGAGAGCATTTGAGGGGACACTTCAGGAAAAAAGCAACTGGCTTGTTTATTAAACTCCTCAGAGGAAAAGCATGATGGAATAATAATAATTCAGTACATTTAATTTCAAAAACTTGACATACAAAAGTAAAGATCAACACACAACAAGTGCAAGACCTGAGGAGCAAGCCAGCCAGTCCTTCTGCACCTGGCCCGGCCAACAGAGAGATGCATTTCCTGTTGGGTCCTGGAAGTCAGCTAAGCTGGACTCCACTAGACCCCCCACGAAGAACTGCAGGACCCACTCGAACCTTCCAGGTTTCGCACAGATGATGGGTGCCCTACAGAAAGGCAAGCCGCACTGCAGGGAAACCCTTCCTGGAGTTTGTTCTTTACTGCTGTCTTGATATTTGCCTCTGGTTGCTATGACAAAATCTGGCATTGGAATTTTTCTGGAAACAAATAGAAAATAGTTTTCAGAGAAGGGAGGTTCAAGACCCTACGCACATTTAGGTTTGGTTATAAACACTCCTAGTAAAATAAAGCATTGACTCATTAATCCCAAAACAAACCCCCCAAAAATATTTTAATCCCCATTCAAAACCTCTTGGTTTGTTCCAGAAGTGACCAGCTCGAAAGCTATTTGTTCTTGTAGAAAGATCACCAGCAAAGTAATTTCACAGGGTGGAGTACTAACCAGTTGGGGTACTGGTCACCCCGTGCCAAGACACACTCTGCTTTTTGTATGTTTGATGTCTGGAGCTGGGAATGCTAACCCCACACATCGGAAATTTTCCATTTGCTAGAGTTGATGATTTTGTTCAGCCTCCCTGAAAAGAAAACCAAGGCTGCAGCCATTGAAACTCCGGCTCCAAGGGTCTGGAAAGTCTTACGAGGGCATGCGGACTTGTGACACATCTCAGACCCAGATGTGCTGGGGTGTTTCTTTGTTTTTGTCTATCTTTCTCTAATGCTCCCATATCTGAAATTTTATTCCTGAATCTCCACCTTTCACCTAAGCCCAAATTAATCTCTTAGTTCACACTGACTTGTCTCATGCCACTGACTTGTCCTCTAGGGCCAGCCTTATATGTGTGAAGATGCAGCTCCCGCCCATGCAGAGTGACTTGAAGAGAGTGTGAACGCTCTCTCCACCCTCTCTGAGCTGGCCAGTGTGAGTGGGTGCCCACAGCATGCACGGCTGTGATCAGACACCAAGGCTAAAGGAGCTGAATTAGAGAAGTGTCCTATTAGTCCTCCAAATGGCGACCCAGTTCCAACCCATTTTCCCACCCTATCTCCTAGTGTCCCCCAACAAACCTCTTCCACTCCAGACGGACTCAATCCTCATTATCTCTTGCATCCACCATAGATGCTTCAGAAATACTGATAAAGACATGTCACCACTAGCAACAATTTTTACCTCTCAGAACTCTAAAGAGAGAACAGACTTGTTAGGAGGAAATATTCAAGTAAGCCACTTGGGGAGAAAAAGCAAGATCTCAAGGGGCGTTCAAATAGCAAACGGCGGTCACTGAATTACTATTCATAAAATAAGGAAAGAAGGAAAAAAACAGTAGGCAACAGGGGTCTGAGCCTTTGTGGGAGAGGACTCAAGAGGTAATAACTCTTAAGACTAACTACGTATCTAGTGCTTACTTCCACCTGGCACTGTTCCAATCCCTTTATATGTATCAATTTATTTAACTCTTACAACAGCCCTATGAAGCAGTTAATAATATCATCCCCATTTCACAGACAGGGAAACAAAGGCCCAGAGTGGTTCAGTAACTTGCCCAAGGTCACTTGGCTAGTGGGTGGCAGAGCTGGTGAGCAATGGTCTCACTCTGGAATCTGTGCTTGAACCACTCTGCTCAGCAGCCTCAGTGGGGGAGCCTCTGGTCACAGCTCAGGGAGGGCAGCAGAGCCAAAGGCTACATGGGTTTCATCAGAGAGCAGAAGGTACAAACATAAGACACACTGTTACTTTATGTGTTGCTGCGAAAGTGATGCCAACTACATACTAGGACACACCATCACAGTAAGACAGATTCTGGTTCAGAGAGAGCAAATATTTAAATATGAAAAGAATGCATCCTGGAAATGATGACAGTACGGAAGGGGGTTTATAAACCTGTTTGCTGTGGAGTGTGCAATTAAACCTTCTCCTTCAGCTCCCCTTGGAAATCCTCAGTGAAATATACATATCACACTCATGCTTTTGTGGGTATAGATTCTTGGGGGAGGTGGTGGCAGGGAAAAACTTACAGAAGTGCCATCTGTGTGTGTGTGCGTGCGTGCGTGCACACATGTGCGTGCATGCATGCAGGCATGCGTGAACAGATGCTGGGCAAAGACAATTTTAGCAAGTTCAAAATCACCCTACATTTAGTTACATAAAGAAAACGTAGCTTCATTATTTTCTATGATTGATCGAGTCTTTCTCCTGAGCCCTTCACCTGACTACATAGAGACAGCAAATTAAATGTCATCCAATCTAATCGTTTCAACAGTCTCACAGATATTTCAAGCTTGCCATGTTCCTCACCCACTTTCCCATTTCTTTCCAAAATGGCCCCTGGGGGAGAAGTTTACTCAGCCTGAGAGTGGCACGAAAGGAGAGGGAGGTCCTTGATCCACATGTTTCATATGTGCAGGTCCTTGTACCATTCTCCAGGTCCTCTGGGTCCTCTCCGAAAGGCCTAGATGCTGAAGTCTGTGGCTGGTCGAGGTCCACTGTGAGCTTTCCTGGTGTCGCCAAGGCTCTGCTGACTGAGTTCCACTTAGGTCCTCACTGGATGGAGTCACATCCCCCTGAGGTCTGGCCATGTTTCCCATTTAATCCTGGTCAGTCCCCCCTATGGCAACTCCCTGGTAAGTTCACCAGCTGGGTTTACTCAGGGCATTCATAGCACTCTTGCTCAATGATCCTGGGTGTGAGTGCAAAATCCTTCCCATCGCAGAATCCTGCCAGCCCCTGCACTGAAGCCAGTGTATTCAATAAGCTAATGGCATCCAGGATCTACTAGTGATGCCCTAAGAGGTACACACCTGCTAGCAGTTACCTGTGCCCAGGAGGCTATCATCACCTGAAGAGGGAATACAAAATTATATACACCTGCACTTAGTGTTAACTGAATTAACAAAGATCATGCTCACCTAATGAACATGTTAGCATGCGTTCCAGTCCTGGTTCTCATAAATACACGCATACCTCTTTGTATTGCACTTTGCTTTCTTGCACCTCAGAGTTGTGTCTTATACAAATTGAACACAAGACCCTCCACCAGCAAAAAGATTACAACTCTTTGCTGTGGTGGTCTGGAATTGAATCCGCAGTATCTCCCAGGTGTGCCTCTATGAAACCACTTGTCTTCCCCAGGGGAGCGAAGGGAACACGCGCCAACATAAACATGGGCTGGGTGGTCCGGAGTTTACCCAGAACTTTGGGTTGTCACGGCTAGAGGAGCAAATGGGGTGAAAAGCTGATACCACTGAAATCTCATCCATTTCCAGAAGTCTGGGATGAGCCCATCAAGATCTCAGGACAGAACACTGGGAAGTTTATCTTCCCTCTCTCTAGGCTAGAGCTGCGGAATGTGCAGAACTGTGTCAAGCCTCAGAGAGAGAGGCCAGCAGATCTTTCTCCACAATTTCACTTTTCTTCGTTCTGTAACATCTACCATCTGTCCACCTCAGCTGACCCTCCCTCTGTTCAATAAGTAGTGTTTGAATTCTACATTTTCCTTACAAAAAAAGGAACGTAGGAAGAAAGGAAAGAAGGAAGGCTGTACCCCTTTCCACAGGCTGAAGCGTGTCAGGCCATGGACCTGGGCCCACTTGAAGCATGCTGCTCCTTTTCCAGACCAAGCGGGTGCCAGACCTTGGAATTCCATTTCTGAATGGTCTGGAGCCCAATTCCAGGGCCTTCCCCAGACCACTTCTGTCAGGAGCTGGCCACACCTCCAGCATGCACACCCCCAAGACCAAGACGTGGCCACAAGGTGGCTGTTGGCAGGGATGGACTTGGGTGTGCAGGCTGGGATGTACACACGCATCATGGACTGCCCTTCTCAGGTGGGACTGCCAGGAAAGGAAGAGGGGAGGACAGGCAGCAAGCTGTGGACTGGGCGTCCACAGCCACTGAGCCACCACCTTCCTGCATGGCACCCCAGGAGTCCACAGGTTCTTAATTCGAACCTGCCCTCTGTGTGGGTATACTTGCAAGGCAGAAGAGCGAAACGTTTTACTTAACATTTTGTCAGCTTGATTTATAACTTTTAAATATTTAGACATGGTGTATGAGCCTCCATTTTTACACTTACCAGGGCCCCATAAAAGTTAGGGAACGGCCTGGAGAAGGGAAAATAGTTTTCAAGACAAGGATGGGGGCCCTTTCTGGATTGAAAGAGACCAACTTGTTTCTTTGCTGCGTGGCGCTTAAAACAGTGTTTGGCACGTATAAGTACTCAAATATTTGTTGAAAGAGAAAAGAAGGAAGAGAGGAAGGGAGAGAGGAAAGAGAAGAGAAAGGGAAGGAACTGGGTTAAACTTTTTATACTTTCAGGAGTTTGTGATATAGTCAGGAAGGCCAATCAAATCCTGTCCCTACCATTCTGCCCGTGTGTCCTTGAGCAAGGTATTCAGCGTCTCTAATCCTCAGTTTCCTCATCTGGAAAATGGGGAAGCCATGGCTATCCTATAGGGAGAAAAAATAAAAACAAGTAATAATCACTTATTTTATTCTCATGGTCACCATCATTTTCATTATATACTCCACCCCCCTCAATCCTGTTTCACTTATAAGTCATATTCTGGGACCAATTTGGTTCAAACAATCTCAGGAAGGCTACCGTTACTGATGTCCAACACGCAAAGAGAAATACTTCAGGATCCCCATTTTGGCCCCACCAACAGGCTCAAATGCACCCCCTATCACCATAGCAGGTGCCCCACCCATCCCCCTGGGCATTTCCTGTGTCAGTACCCAGAAGTGGGCCTCCAATTGCCAGCCCCAGTACTTCTTTGCATAAAGGCATCCTCAGTCCTCCAGAGCCCACTTTGCCACTTGAAGAGCAGGACAGAAGTGCCGGAGAATTGATGCTCGGGAAGCAGCCTTTAACTGCTGTCAGATGGGAGTGGGTATAAATGCCCCAGCACTGTCGCTCCTAGGGCAGGGTCACTCCTAGGGCAGGGTCACTCCGAGGTGTATGCTCTATGCTGAATCCCAGCAGCGCCATGTTCCTGCTACCCTCGGTGATAACCTGTTGGACAATAAACCTTTTTTTGCTACATAAGTCTGCATGAGTTCGGCCATACCAGTTACTAAGGCCAGTGACCGTCCCTTCTAATGACTCAGTGTGCATGCCTTACTGTTTGATAAATATTTTGAAAACCACCCCTTCACTGTAACCAATAAGTTGCTCCCACAAGTACTTGAGAAACATCAGTATTCCATAAAGCTAGATCCAACAGCAATTTCACCTCATAAACTGAGAAATATTTATTCTTTCCCCCTCCTTCTTCCTGCAATGGCATTAAAATCCAATAGTTATGTGGAGGGGACTAGACAATAAAAGATCATTCAATGCTTCCACCCACCTACAAAAGCCAGCAAACACCACAGATTTTTTCCGTTTTTTGTTGGAAATTTTCCCATATGTTTAAGTGAGGTGCCATGACCCCACACAGTATATCTAATAAATAGGGTATCTACTCTCACATGCTTTTGTACTTGGTGGTGACCTCAGTGTTTCACAAATATGTTGTCTCCATGTTTTTATTATCTCATAATCCTTTGGATGGCGACACATTCTGAGACTATAACAAATATATTAACATCCCAATATGAATATAATGGAACAAAAAAGATGACCTCGATCTAGAGTGGATGAATGCCAACCCAAACAGTGGCTAAACTGGGCAGCTGTTTGCAATTAGGCCCAATTAACACGTTTTAAACACAACATTACTGGGAACCTCTTTGAAGTGTGTTGTTCCGCCAAGGTTTTTCTTGAAAGGGTTTCCTAATGGGAAGCAGTCAAAACCCACAGCTGAACAACTCAACTTCCTATTTTGACTTACATGTCATGTAGAGTTCACAGTTTTCATTCGTTTTCCCCAGTTATGTGTATAAATATTTCAAGCATGTAATGAAATGTCTGGAAAGGCATCTTACTGAAAAGAACATTTGTAAAGAAAGCCAGGAAGAGGAAAGCAAGGGGGCGGGGCTTCTGTGCTTTAATTTGCATTGTGTGGAATTGCCAATCTCTACTAGAAAGGTAAATGTGGAATCGTATTGATTTATTTAATAAGCACACAAGAGCATTGTCTACACTGAAAGAAAAGCTCCGTGAGGCCAAGGACCCTGTCTCATTCATCACGTATCTCTAGTACTAGACTGGCACCACGGTAGGCCTACGATAGACACTAGTTGGATGAATGAATGGATGAGTTTTTACTGAATGAATAAGCAAATGCCTGAATGAAGGAAGAAAATAAATAAATTATATACATGTGTTTGGAAAACACAAGCTAAGGTCCCTAGCTCCCCTATGTGTATGTGTGTGTGTGTGTGTGTGTGTGTGTGTGTGTGTGTGTG